CAGGCCCTTGTCTGTGGGCTGTGCTGGCATTGGGGGTTGGAGGCCTGGCCGGAGTGCCACGTCCCCCCTTCTGGCTGCGAGACCCTGGGAAGCCCGTTTCCCAGCTGTAAGATGGGGCAGGTGCAGCCCCACACAGTTGATGGACACAGCCCAGCCACGCTAGCCAGGAGGTCCCCACGGTCCCTGGCAGATGCACCCTCCCACCTGAGCCCCACCTACACCTCTCAGGGGCCTCTCGGGTCATTGTCCCTGTCCTTGGCTTCAGAGGCAGAACCACCTCTTTTCTTGTGGTCCGGCTGCCGTGGCCACTCCCACCCCCCCATTAGGTAGGACATGAGATCTCTTCCCAGCAGGGAGGGACAGAGCCACCAAGACACCTCTCCAGGCAGGGGAACCTCCAAGCTGACCTTCTCTCTGCAACTCCCCCCAGAAGCTCCTGTAAAAAGTCCAAATGCCTCTGCTCGCTGCCTGCACATGAGGACAGAGTGGCCCTCCAGCAGCCCGTGGGGAGATTCCAGTTCCCAGAGCCTCCCGGGGTTTCTGCGGACAGGCGGGGCTGGCTCCCTGTGTCTGAAAGGCGGCAGAGGCTGATCCCAGAGGAGGGCTGTGGAGTGAGGGTGGACAGCTTCACCCCAGCCCAGCTCCACCCTGGCTCGACCAGCTGAGTGGCCTTGGACAAGTCTCCTAACCTCTCTGGGTCTCTGCTGCCTCATTGGAAGTAAGTATGGGAACACAGAGGTTCCCGACTCGCGGGGTGTGGAGTATGAGTGTGTCCACCTGGGGCAGGCAATGATGTCGGCCGCTCAGCAGGGAGACAGGGAGGAGACTAGAAAGTGGGAGGTAAGGACAGGGACCTCTCCCAGTGCCCAGCGTGCATTTATACATCTCATTCCAACCTCCTCAGTCCACCCTCCCACACATGGGAACCCAGCTCAGAGAGGCACAGCATCTGGCCAGAGCCACACAGCCACGTGGTCATCCCAGTGACTCCCGAGATGGCTGTTCCCCAACTCATTGTACATAAGGGGAAACTGAGGCACGGTAGCTCTTCAGAGGTCACAGAGCTGGTAAGCAGCAGTGCTGGGGTTCAGCTGTCTGATGGCAGCCCTCAGGTCCCCTGCAGTCCTGGCTGTGGGGAGGATGAGGGGGCCCAGGGTCCTTGCCCTCCTGGGGCAGCGTGCCCAGGCAGCCCACGTCTCCGGGGGTGTTGGGTCGGGTGAGCAGCTGTGGTCAGGAGGAGCTTGGAGAGGTGACCCTGGCCCTTGGCTGGGGTGGGGAGGATCTTGCAGGGCTCCCCCATGGCACACACCAGCTGGACCCCAGGGTGGGCACCAAGCATCCCCCAGAGGCTGCACCCCACCTCTGCCCAGATGGCGCTGCCCTTCCCCCCAGGAACCCTGTGCCCTCCGTCCCCCTCACAGGCAGGACCGAGTTGAAGGCTTCCCTTGGCTCCGCCTGCCTGTGGGACCCTGCTCCCCAAGCTGCCTGGTGGTCCCCAGGCAAGTACGGGCGTGGGCACAGGCCTCCTTGTGGCGGGCAGCTCCCCGGGAGTTTTTTCATTCTGGTCACGTCGTGCGCACACCTGGCGGCTGCCCGGCGCTGCCGCTCCCCTTCCCCAGACCCAGTTTGGGGTGAAAGCTTTGCTTATTAGCCAGTCTGGGTCCCCTGGCTGGGCATGGTGGCCTGATTGATATTCAGGAGTGGATTCAGCCAAGCCCCAGTCAGCTGCATGTGAGCATCCCCACCTCGGGATGCTGGCCAAGGACAGGGGACAAGCAGCCTCACACAGGGCCTAGGGCCTCAGGGGGGGTCTCAATGGTGGCCTGGGAGCAGCCCTGGCTGATGGCATTCCTCCCCTGCAGGTGCCAGCAGGGTTCTGCTGTAGGGTGGGGACAGAGAAGAGGGGCTGGGGCTCCTGGCCATGCCCCCTGCAGGAACTGCATCTCCCCCCGAAGGCAGAACATTGCTTCCTGGATCTTCCTCATCACCTGCTCTGGAGGAGGCCTGGCCCCTCCTCCATGGCACACAGCACTGTCCCTGCCCACACAGTGTCACCACTGTTCTGGGGATGGGTCCATGGGGCCTGGACTTCAGCAAATCCATGGGACAGGGTTTCAGATGCTCCCCACGGAGCTCAATGCACAGCTCCGGTTCCTTGTAAAGGCCCCAGGAGGGCCGGTGTCATTCCGTCAGGTGCAAAGACTCCTGGGAACCCAGGGGCCAGATCCCAGGCAGGGCAGAGTTCCCAGCCTGTGCTTCCGGGTTGAAGGGCAGAGCCTCATCTCTCACCGGTGGACTTGGGATCCTCAGGGGTGATCTTGTCTGGGGGGCTGCTGGCTTTGGCTCTAGAAGCCGAGATTCTCAGATGAGATGCCACCCAAGCATCTGGGGTCAACTGTGAAATGATAGTTCTGGCTGGGCCTGGTCTCCTGACCCCTCTGCATTGGAACTCCGTGGGGGGCCAGCAGAGGCAGGAGAGAACGGGCATGTGCAGGCCCCAGAAGGCCCACCTGAGCCAGGGGAGCGACTGGGAATTTGGGCTGCTCTTCAGACACTGGAGGCTAGCGGCTTCTGGGGGCTTGAATGAGGAGGAGCTGGTATTCCCAGTCCCCCCAAGAACAAAACAGCCAGACAGCCACCACTTGGGATGGGGGACAGGCAGGGCGGTAGGCCTCCATGATTTAGCTCTCAGAGCGAGGGCAGCTGTCCTGGGGGACTGGAGAGGAACCAGGATGCTGAGAAATGAGGCTAAATCCAAAAATCAGATTTCTCAGTTCAAAGGTTTCCCAGGGATGGGCCCTCTGTGTTGACGCCTGACACAGCTGCAGGGGATGCAGGTGCAGGTGCAGGTGCCAGTTGGTGTGCGTTCTGCATGGGTGTAGCCAGCGCTTGCCCCGACGCTGGGTGTCCCTGTGCCCACCCTGCCCCGTCCCCAGGAGCAGCTGCACTGTGACTGACCTCTGGCTTCTTGCCTGCGTCTGTGTGGTTCATAAATGGGTCACCACTCATCTCAGGGGCCCTCGGCCCTGCCCCAGGGGTTCTTCTCTGGTCTCTATTGTGAGCATTTGGGGCATCTTGCATTTCTGGCTATTTCTGAGCAAGAGCAGATGACGGGGGCACATGTGCCTGGGTCTTGTGTGGGTCTCTGTCACAACTTTGGCTCGGGCGTCGCCAGACAGGTATGGGAAGGGGAGCAGTCCTAGGGGTGCACAGTCAGGCCGGCCCAGGTGTGGGGGGTGCTAGCCACTTGCTTTCCCCTCTTGGCTGTGTGGGGGGCATGGCTTTGTTACTCGTGGTTCTGGGGACTCACGAGTTTTCCAGACACTATGAGCCACGTGGACCCCACGTCTGGTCTGTTGGGGGCTGCAGGCCCTTCGCCCGATTTTTAGAGTTCACTTTTCTGGTTCATTTTCCTTCAGATCTTCTCATTACCGAGGTGATTTATGTGTCCTCGGTCCCAGTCCCGGGGATGTAGGCCGTGGCTCCTATCCCGTGGGCAGCTTCTACCACTAGGCATCCTTTGATGAGGAGGTTCTTCATTTTAACGTCGTCACTGTCATTTCGTTTCCTGGTTGAGAGGCCCGGGCCTCCTCCCAGCCGCGGACCCCTGGCCCTTCCCACGTGACCGCATTGTCCGTCCTGAGTGGATCCTGGCGCATGGCGGAGCTGAGGTCAGAGGCAATTCTTTTCCATGTGGCAGTCACTCGACCCAGTGTCATTTTCTCCCGGGTCACCTTCCCCTGCCCTGCAGCACTGATGGTGTCAGGGGTCACGTGGCTGCAGGAGGGGGTCACGTGGCTGCAGGAGGGGTCATGTGGCTGCAGGTGGGGGTCATGTGGCTGTGGGTGCAGCCTGCACCCTGCCTCTGTCCTGCCTGAGCGGCTTCCCCGTGTCAGCGCCATGCACTCTCCATCCGGGGCTCTGTGGTGGCTGGCACCTGGCATCGTCCTCACGGTGGCCATGGCATCAGTGACCCTTTGCACTTCCTGCCATCCTTCAGCCTCACCCCTTGGGTCAGCGAGAGTGCTGGAGGATGGTCTCTGAGAGCCTCAGTCACAGGCCGAGCTGATTGTGGCCTTGGCTGGTGGCAGCTGTGGACGGGGGTGCCAGGCACTTTGGGGGCACATTTGTAGATGGCTTCAGCCAGGCTGTGGTGGGGAGAGGAACCGGGGTGATGCTGTGTCCTGTGCAGCCAGCAGAGTGAAGTGCCACGAGTGGATGGGCCAGCCCCAGGGAGGCATCAGCGTGGAGGACATGAGCTCCTCAGCCCCTGTCCCCACATCCGCCCTCTCTCTATCGTAAGACCCCAGACAGCACCAGCCATGGTTATGGTGCCAGGGCTGCACTCTGCACCATGTGCCTGTGTCTGGGCTGCTGGGCACCTGGGCCAGGCCCACCATGTCCCCTGGAGCACTGCCCATGCTCCTCACCCTCGAAGGCACATCCTGCCTGTGTGACAGGCCCTGTGTGCGTGGCCCCTGCCCTGCTCCTGCCAAGGCCCCTGGGGTTTGTGCTCAGGATTCCATGTGCTCTCCCACGGAGCCTGGGGACCCAGGGCCATGGGTCAGGTGGCCTCCCAACTCCTCAGCCCTGAGAAAGGCTCTGTCCTCACCACTCCACGTGCCAGGTGGCACCTGTCCAGCTCCTTGAACGTGCCTGTCTTCAGCCGTCCCCTGAGGCTCAGCTGGACACAGAGCTCACCCAGGCCAGGCCATGATGCTGACCACGTGCTGCTTACTGGGAGCTCAGCCCTGCCGGCCCACAGCGCCCCTCCTGCCGGCAGGACCAGAGCAGTCTGAGGACAGGACGGCCACCGGGAAGGGAAGCGCATTGCAGGGCAGCCACACAGTGCCACTAAGGACAGGGCCCAGGACAGAGGGACGAGTGCATGCCCAGCATGTTTTTATTTGGAAGGAGACCAGGAATTCAGGCTGTCCCGGTTCCCATTAGCAGTGCAGCTGGGCAGAATCCCACGCCTCGCCTCCCGCCTGGCCACAACACTGGGGGCCGGCTCCTCATGCAGGGGGAACAGGGACTGACCAGGTGGCATCTGCAGAGAGGACCTGGGCTGGACACCCTGCCAAAGGTGTGCAGGGCCTGCCCAGCTGACTCTGCAGAAGTTGCCTGGAGCCAGCTTGGCGCTGGGGAGTGACACGCACATTCCCACCCTGCAATGTCTGGGACACAAGTCAGTGGGGATGGGAACATGCTTGGACGTGCCTGAGATGGGTCCTCGCATGGTGCTGGTGGGAATTGAAATTGGCACAACCATTCAGGAAGGGAGTGACCATGCCCAACCGCAGGACCTGGGGTTGCTGTCTGGGCATCAGCGCCAGAGAAGTGAGCACTGGTGTGCCGGCGGAGAGGGACACGTCTGCCAGTCAAGGAGTGGGCCGAAGATTGTGGCCACCTGTACACGGGAACTGAGAGGCGCTGACAGCTCATCAAGCCTGGAAACTGGGTGAGTGAAGCTGCACAGACCCTTTCATTTAAAGAAAGGTCTAGAGCAGGCAGTCCTGGAGCCTGGACGTGGCTCAGTGGAACTCTGAGTTGGGCAGATGACACTGGGGGACAGCTGAGGGTCCAGGGTTGGTTTGGAGGTGGTGGGCTGTGGTGCTGGCCACGCACTCTGGAAGCTTGCGGGCACACTGTGTGCGTGGGCTGTACGAAGGGCGGCTCCTGCCTCAGGAGCAGCAGTTCCCTGAGAGGAAGCAGGGACGCGCCCCCGTGTCCACAGCAGCCCAGAGTCGGAAGCAACCCAGGTGATTTGTAGGAGCGCGGCTAAAGACACAGGTGCTGCTCAGCCGGGAAGGAACCAGCCCTTGTGCCGCTCAGCAGCCTGGGGGCTCCCTGAGAATCACCCAGAGTTTCAGAAGCACCCATCCCAGCCAGGGCGTGCTGGAGGGTCCTTTTGTTACCGCTGTTGTGACCGGTGACGAGTTCTTGCTTCCCCAATGTTGAAGAATAACACCAAAGAAGCACGCCGAGGCAAGGTCAGAGTAGAAATTAGAAGTTTATTAAATGACAGCAGAAAAGACTTCTCCCGGAGGAAGAAGGGGACCCAAGAGGTGGAATCCATGGAAGGGATGTTGTCTCCCCTTTTTATAGTTCTTTCAGTAATGGAATGTAGGTGGGAAGGACCGAGGGGTGGGACACAGGTGGGCCAAAGAAGTAATCTGGTCAGGAAGGACTGAGTCAGCACCTTTTTGCTGGGGGCTGTTCATTAACATTTCTTTGAGGTGGACTTTGGCCTAGGGCCTTTTTGGACTTCATTAACATTCCTTGAGTTGTCCAATGATTCCCGGAATCATTGCCAGCATGGCCTCCATTTTAGATTTCACTCGGTATTAGACCCGATTTACCTAACTACACTGACTACCTAACTTTAAATCTGGCTTCACTTTGGCTAAGGCTCTCTAAGTGACTGGAGAGAAGACGGATAGATCCGTGGGTGCCGGGGCAGGGAGGCACCTGTTGATGATGACACTCTGTCTGTGCCAGGCCGACTGTGGGAAGGTGTCGTGGGCTGAGGGGCCACCACGCAGGTGCCTGCAGGACTGGGGGTTTGGGATTGTGGGGGCGCTGGCCGCCTTCCTGTGGTCAGGTTGAGCTTTGGTCTTGTCCCCTTGGGAAGCTGGGAGGGGTCTCCTCCCTACAGCTCCTGTAAGTCTGTGGTCACCCAAGAGTACAGGCTTCAGGCCGGGGGCCCTGGGCATGCCATGACCCAGTGACCTGAGAGGCTGAGGCAGGGAGACTGGGACACCTCCTGTGGCCACAGCCAGCTCAGCATCCAGAGCCAGAGGGCTGTAGGCCACTCAGGAGGAGCTGCTCATTTGTATCTCATTTTCAAGTTATTATGGAGCTGCCGCTTGTGAGAGTGTTTTGACAGCAGCTGTCAGCAAGGTGCAAGTGGCTGCCATTACCTCCGATTGGCTGAAGACACCTATGGCAGCCAGTGGAATATTGGCCAGGCCAGCCTGCCACCAGGGGGAGGAGGCAGGAGGGAAAGAAAACAGCTCAGGCCGCCCAGCCCTGTGTCATTAGCATTGTTCTGACTCCCAGTTGAGAAGGCAGCCGGAAAAGACTCGGATTGTGTCTTGTGTTTTATTTAATTTATTTTATTTGAGGTTTCAGGCAGCCGGGGAGGTGGGAGGAGAGAGGATCCATCCAAACAACCGTTTAGGCGTGTCAGAGTTCATTTATTGAATTAGCGAGGTGACCTCTCAGGGCTCCCAGCTGCCTGGCTGCAGCCCCTGGGACGGGAGCTGGGCGCTGGTGAAGGAGCTCAAATGCAGGAGCGGGTGCTCCAGCCAGGGAAGCAGGATGCAGGAGCGGGCGCTCCAATCAGGGATGCCCCCCTCTCTCCCTCTCTCTCCCTCCCTCTCTCTCTCTCATCCCCTTTCTCCCTCTCCCCCCCTTCTTAACTGAAGTGTGGAGGGACACACATGCTCCCTCCTTCCCTGAAGATTCTTCTCTATCCATGACATAAATCATCCCCATGTGTTTTGCCAGACACGGTGCAGCTGTGCACACAGGCAGGAGCCTGTGGGGCGCTGGGAATCACTGCCTTTCACCTAAGAGTCTTAAAACTCATTGTTTGTTTGGTTGGTTTCATTCTGTTTTTAAGTATGAAAAAAACTGTCAGCAACACCAGAAGGCAGCTGCCTGGTGATGGGGGCACAGTCTGCCTCCACCGAGGGCCCATGGGGGTGCTCTGCTGTGCACACGCAGCCAGAGAATGTTGGCACGGCACGAGGAGACTATGTGTCACTCTTGTTTCCACCCAGAAGGTCCCCTGCAGCAGCTCTGCCCCCCCCCAGCAGCAGCTCTGTCCCCCAGCCATCTGAAGCCCCTCTCCCCTCTGCCTGGGAGGGCTGGCCCTGGGTCTTCCTTCCTATAGGTACCAGAGAGCCAAAGGGGGCCACAGTCTGGGGTGCAGTGTTCAACCGGGCCACTTGTCAGGGGACATGTGGTGACAATTGGGGTTGTCATGGCTTGAGGGGTGCTACTGGCCTCTAGGCAGGAGCCAGGGGTGCTGCTGAATGTCCTTCAACATGCAAGACAGCTGAGGTTGGCGCTCGAGTCTGTGGGAAGGGGCTTTGTCAGCGGAGGGGACAGTAGTGAGCTTTGAGGCTCCGAGGTTCAAAGTGGGGTGCAGATGGCATGGGCCATCTAGGACATCTGGGGGGAATGGCTGCTGCCCAGTAAACCCAGGAGTACTCCTGGTCATTGCAACAACCAAACCTGGGCCCACAGGTGCCCCCCACCCCCCAGCAGTGCCACCCTGTAAGTTGTACTGATGTCATCGACATAGCAAAACAGAATCCTGCCAATTGACACATCTGCCTATGTCAACCGTGTCCTCCCCTCCCCAAGTCCTTGTGCAAAAGTGAACCTGGAGACAATCGGATCCTATTTAACCTTGTGGTGTTGGTGAAATGCCTCCTGCTGTATGTAACCCAAGGATTCCAGAAACAGGGAAGTTCACAGGGAAGACCCAGAGCTTTTCTGATCCTTCCCCAAGTTCTCCACAAACAGGGGAACACAGCTTACATCACTGGGCGTGGTGCAAAGAGATTAATAGGACCCTGCGGGGGAAGTGCTAAGTGTAGACTCTGGGGAGCAAACCCTGGAAGATGTCCTTAGTGTTGGGAGTCCCTGGCTCCAAAGACTAACTTCCCCATCCCCCCCCCCAGAAGAGCCGTCCAATGGTGAGCCCTGCTGGCTCACATGATCCTTACCCACCAATCAGACCAGCTCTGCTGGCTCACATGATCCTTACCCTCCAATCAGAAAGCACCCCATGCCAACTGTCAAACCCTTCAACCATTAAACTCTCATAACTGTCAAACCTCCCCCGGCTCTATAAATATTCAGAGGAGTTCCTCAATAAACGGGCATTTTCTCCAACAACGAGCCTTGTTCATTGCATTCATTCTTTCCTTCAAGAACCTCCCTCCCAGAGGACACCGAATCCCACCATGTGAATTCTAGGAGCCACTAGGGGGTTCTTCAGGGTCATTCTGCTCCAGGAGCAAGGGAGCTGGACGTCCATCCAGCAGCTCCCACAAGCCCTTGGCCAGGGCTTCTCTGTTAATCTCCAATGGGCAAACCCTACCATACCTAAACCCAAACCCAAATCCCCCAACCCCCAGGATAATAAAACAATGAGTTATGGCCTGACAATAGGAAACAGAGCCAGCCACACCAGAGCTGTAGTGAATACCGTGGGGTACCAAGAGCAAACAAGGCATGGCCCCTGTTCTCGTGAAGCTCATCATACAGAGAGGGAGGCAGGCACAGCCACTCCATGAAATGTCAGGTCACACAGAGGCAACACTACAAAGAACAGGTGTGTGACACTCAGGGTGTAAGTAGCAAAGAACTCTTCCATAGTCCCTTTTGACACAGAAGGGACATTTGAGCTGGAATTCACAGGCCAAGGGAGCAGAGAAAGAACAGCATGTGCAAAGTCCCTGTGGCACTAAGTATAGCAGAAGCCAACTGGAGGGCTGGGAAGCAAAGAGAGAGGGGTCCAGTTGTAGATGTGGCCAAACCTTGAAGTCTGTGTTAGGAGGGCCAGAGGGAACCTTTGAGGATTTTAGGCAGAGAGAGGCCAATTTCAGAGAAATATTTGGGTTGTTATAAACAATAAGTAGGTGTGGGTGGCAAGAGTGGAAGCAGGGAGACCCAGGTGCTCAGGGGTGCCTTCCACATACCAGATAGAAAATGGTAAAGGCAACTAGCAGGTGTGAAAGACATTCTTCTAGACCCCAGAGAGCTTTATCCAAAATGTCACACTACCCTCATAATCCAACGAGGAGGCAGGCACTCTTATTTCTCCCCATTTCAAGGAGGGAAAGATGGAGACTCCAGTCTTCACTGAAGCAGTGGATTAGTAACTATCCAGCTCAGACTAGGAGAGCTATAAAGAAGAGGGAAGGGGTGGGAAATGCTTTTGGGTGACTTTGATGCCACACTCTTTCATTCATCGAACACATTCTGGTACAAAGCCCTCTCCCTGCTGGCCATTCCTCAAGGAGCTTGTCCTCACCATGACGCTGCCTACCCCTCTTCCTGATGTCCCTTTTAGGTAGGTCTTGTGGTGCCCCATTTTACAGATGAGAATATGGATGCTCAGAGAGATGACATCATCTGACCCTAAACACTTCAGACACAAGAGAATATCCTCCGGGTTCAGTCTCAGGTTGATCCAATTTTTAAACGCATATTATTTCTTTGTCCAATTCCACAGTCCCCGCCAAGACCCGGCTGAGCCCAGGAAGTTATTCGCTGCAGGCCAGGAGGGGCCTGGGAGGTCTGGGAGGTACTGAGTGTTGACATAGGGTCTCTGACAGGCATGGTATATAGTTTTAATTAAGGTTGTAAGGGATGAAATCTGAGAACTCAGGTGGGTGGCCTGTGGATCCTTTGACATTCTGATGCATTATCTTTCAGATCCACGGGATGAGTACCTGGTCGAGTCCTGGAATGTTCCGGAATTAGGACTCGAGAGATGCGATCCCATGTTAAATGTAGGTGGAGATGGACTGCATGAAACCCAGAGTGGGGGCTGGGAGAGTGGGCTGGACCCAAGCCTGTTCCTCCTGTTCTTTCATTAAATAGATTAATTTGGAGCTGGGTATGTGTTTTCAAGGTGCAGAAGTTATTGGTCCCCTGGAGCTAGGGCATGACCCAGTTCTCAGGAACTGCCCTGTGTGTCTGGAGACCAGCTGGGGTCTTCTTAAAGAAGCCCTGGGCTGGGGAACAGGGGTAGACTGAGGTCAAACTTGGCCCCTCATTTTTTGGGGGGTGACTTTTCCTGTTTCCTCCCCTCCCCCACTCCCCTTGGTTCTTCCAGAGCTTTCCATTCCATGCCCTTATTTGGAAGGCACTTGTACTCGTCATTGGGGACAACTCAGTCACAACAAATCTCAGGCAGACTCCCACTAGAGCTGCCGTCCTGACACCCCTAGCCCCTGACCCCTTCTTGCATCTGCTCATGATTCCCCCCTCTTGAATTTGTGGGTACAGAGCTAGACAGAAAAGGAACTACTCTTAAGAGGGAGGTGAGTGGAGGAGGGGACCACAGAGGCCCAGGAAGGGGTGGCCATTCCTTAGGAAAGGGGAGCAGACAGCCCTTGGCCAGGGCCACCTGCTGGGTTTCTGTTCTAGGGACTAAAAGGCTCAGGGGTCACTCTAGTTAAACTGGGCTAACTGGGCTGCATGAAATAACCACACAATGAAATAACCACACAAGAGACACAAATACCTTTTTCTTTGGGGGTGCTGTGATGGCTCCTCTGACCTTAAGGGTCCACGGAAAGAGAGAGAGAGAGAGAGAGAGAGAGAGAGAGAGAGATCACGTGCTGACCCCTTTTATTAATTATGCTGGACTTTAGTGACTAAGACTACATTTACCTTTATGGATAATTGTTGGAAAGAGTATTAAAATAGATTTTTCCAAGGGTATTTGTATTACTGACAGACCTAATTAACTCCTTAAATATGAGAGTGAAGAGAAAAAATGATAAATATCCTGTAGCCTATAAGAATGCAACTTATTGCCTCATTAATTATTGCCAGCTAATATTTCAGAACTATAATATGCTGACGTTAATATTCAGGCTTTGAAACAGGTGTATGGCTAGTAACCAGACCCAGACAAACTGCTGGTCTCATAATCCCTAAAGTGACTACTTTAAATATTATTCCTTGCTTATTCAATTTTGGACTTTGTGTCTATGTCTCAAAACTTACAAAGTATGGATTTTCTTAATGTTTGTCTTAAATTACATCCAACTTCCTTCATGGTCAGATAAGTGCTGATGGAAGGATGAGAACTAAGTAATGATGTTCTAGAAGACAATGTAATGAATAATGTGAGTGAGCCCTTTGCTCTATGGTTTATGGAAAGGCCTCAATGCCATGACAATGAAAATGTCTGTTACTATGGCCAAAAACAATGCGTCCCAATAAAATTGGGAAAAGATTAAAAATCTTCTGATGAGTGTTTGGCAAGGTAATAATAATCCAGATTATTGTGTTGACTGTTATGAAGATAATATGTTTTCTACTAATTCTTTTTGTGTTTCAATAGCAGATTGTGATGACCTTGGACCAAGAGCCAAGTGACTGAACGAAAATTTCCCAGTTACATTCTTTTTTTAATATTAAGAAAGGGGGAATATGTGGGAGGCCAACCTTACAGGTGACTGAGTTACACTCCCCAGCTGGGTGCTGAGGCGCTCAGTCACAGAAATGGGTGTGTCTTGCTACAGCCCCATGGGTGAAGCTATGCTCACCTGTTCCTTTGTAATATAACCCCTTGCCCTGTTTAGGATAGAATCTTCCATGGAAGTGCCTTCTGTGTGTCCCCTCCTCTTACTGTGCCCTGGGATGTGGCCTACCCAGGTGTCAGTCAACCTGCTAACAGTGGACATCACGAAGATAGACTCAGCCCCCTGAAACCTGACCGCTTGCCTCATTTGAATAGCTTCTCCTCAATGGCTGGCTTGGGTTTTTTATCTGCTGTCTAGCATAAGTTTCTGTCACTGGTGTGGTCAATTTGTTGCTTGGCTATTTGGCTACCTCAGTCATGGGAGCTGGTGATAACTGGCTGATGACAAACCTCAAGTCAATGTCCAGTAGCTCAGTTTCTTTTTGGAATGTACACAACTGTTATAGGGTTTGAGTGGGGCATGCCTGTCAATCTACATAAGCAAGATAATATCCATAAGCCAATCATCTTCTGCCTAATGTAACCATACTGTGAGGAAACTCTATATGCTCGTAGCTGTTAGTTGCAACTGAAGGCTATTCTAACATTTTCTCCTCTTCTATTAAATTTATTGTCAAAGGAGAACCCTGATGAGAAAAGAAAGGAAAAGGAAAAACAGAAAAAAATGGGAACCAAGAAAGAGAAAAGCATCCAGACATGGCCCATTCCTGTAGCTGCATTTGTCTCCTGCTGTGGTGAGCAGGCAGTCACTGTTGACTAGGTCTCTGTCACTAGGGTTCTGATCTGAGCTGGATGTGGGGAGCAAAGCAGCCATGGGGCAGGAGACCTCTCTCAGAAGGGGAGAAGAATTAGGCCTTTGCACCAGTGGGGATGAGGTTCTTTGCCTCACCTCTGTTGGCCCCCAAATTTTCTCCTGATGGCTCCTCTGCGACTGTGCCTGTCTTAGGTTGTCCCTCCCTTGAGGAATCCTACTGGTCATTGACTAACCAGCCATCCTTCCGGGCCAAATAGGGTGATGTGGAGTGTGCATGGCATAGTCCCCAAGAGGGCTCTTTGTCTCCTTGATAGATAATGCCCCCATGGCCTCCACGCCAGCATTTACCCTAGGATCAGCAAACTCAGGTTTCTTCTCCATCTCACAGCTCTGGGCTGGTGGGGCATGTGTTCAGGAAGGAAGGAGACAGGCCATAGACAGACAAACAGTAATATAGTGACAAAGCTGAGAGAGACAGATGAAGAGGAGATCCCTCATATAGAACTGGCCCTTAATTGGTGTTACTCACATCTGGTCATAGCTGCCATCCATACAGATGCGGAACAATCCATTATTTCAACACTGTCTTTTTCTCAAAAGTTACTTCCAGACAGTCTGTTTACCATAGAATCAATATATAGGTATAACTGACCATTACAGTCAGGACAATTAATCTAGTTTTATGGGTGTACTTTCCAGTCCACACTGCAAGACCTGGGAAATGGGTCCACACCAGTCTTTTCATAATTTTTATTTACCTGACAAGCTCGTGAAGCTGCATGGCTATAAACTCTGTAGCTGGAAATTTACCTTCCTGTGCCAGGTTTCTCAGTCATTATAATGATGACTGTTTTAAACTCTCCTTTGATATCTGATTTAATTTACTGAATCATGTTCAATAACATTAAGACTCTCAATATTACAATTTAAGAAAAAACTTTTAAAGTATTTTGTAAAATCTAGTGTCTCTCTGGGATCATGTATTCCCCCTTTTCCTTATTTAATAAAATTGAGTAAAGGATTGGCATAAGCCATAGTATTATTAGTTTAAGTTTTAGATAATAGTACAAGTATTTAAATGATTAAGAATAGATTTACCTTTTATTGATTATTAAAATTTTTTAATATAGACTAATCGATCCATCCTAACAATTTAGAAAGAATCCTCAATCTTTTTGAGAGAAGGTCTCAAAATCTCTATAATTTTAGAATATTATCCTTTAAATAGGTATCTCTTAATTGCCTTTAAAAAATATGATTAAGGTTATTTTTTGTGTAGGGAGCAGTGTATAAATCTTATGTATTTTTTATGGACAATAGATCTAGTCAGAGAACTTATATAATATCAATGAATTTTTTTTTAAGTTTGTAACCTTTATTGTTTAAAATTAATATATAACTTTAATTTGGAGAACCTTAGTCTTAATAAAATGTTGTGTTTTTTTTTAAATATTATAATTATCTAACAAATAAAATATGTAAAAATTAATATCTCAGTGTCTTAGAATCAATCAATTTTAGTCTCTAAGGACAATTGTTAGAATCGGATTTAGTAGTTCAATATACTTAATGTTTAATCAACAATGTGAATTTATTTACCAAAATTAATCTTGTCTTAAACAGTAAGAATTATTAGGCAATAAGGATCTTTCTTTAAAGAAATAAACTTACATTTTAATAGGTGCTTATCATGTCAAAATATGGACAAAATCTTAGCTCACATTAGTATAGTTAAATTAGGAAAATAGCCTGAAATACCCTTAAATTAATTATAGTCAGTTTAGTATATATAAATCTCTTTTTTAATCATTCTAACTTTTTACATCATCTGTTTAGATAACAATATAAAAATCTTTTTTTACTTAGGAAAATACTTTTATCATTGAAATATGAATATAAAGACCTTGTTTTACCCAAAGATGATTTTTTTTTTCTTTTTAGGATCCATGTGTGCTTTTTCTTTGTTGAAGCATCTTTTTCTTTTAGAATTTTTTTTTTTTGGTTAAACTTTGGAACAATTTCTGAAAACCTTAGAATCTATAAACAAATTATTGTACTTTGATAAGAAATATCAATGAAAATATAGTTAAAATCCTTAGATATTTTGTACACATAATTATAATTATTTATCATCTTATGAGTTTGAACAGTAACTTTGAGAATTCGAAACTACTTGAAGATTGTATTTTCACTTAAGAGCAAATTTATAGTAAACACATTTATCTCAAATATCTGTAACTGAAAAGGCAGAGTATCTGATAAATGTAAATATAAAACATAAATTATGGGTTTTCTGTTGAAGAAAAACAATTAGGCAAATATATATTAACTAATCAATTAGGCATATGCCAATTATTTTATACATTAACAAATATAGGTTATCTGAATATCTAAAAATATATATTAAGAATAAGAACATAACTTATAATTGTATTAACTTTATGTAACCATGTGGTATTAAAATATTTGGATCCATTTTAATTTATTTTTAACTAGGAGTGCACTCTTCTATGTGATGTCACTTGATGTAACTGAAATAAGATCCTTGAGTATACATTTTTTTTAGAGAGAGAGAGAGAGAGAGAGAGAGAGAGAGAGAGAGAATTTTTTAATATTTATTTTTTCAGTTCTTGGCTGACATA